CTATGCTTTACTTTCATATCGGAGAAAGTGTTTTAAAATTTAGCCAGCATAGACTTGTATTTGTCTCATTCTACAGTATATTATTATTTTATTTTCTTTTAAATAACATGTAATTTAATTAAGCTGTATAAAGAATAGAGAAGAGGAAATAGATAATGGGAAAAAAAATTTATTACCGGAAGGCTTGAACATATTTTAAAATGAGTCATGTAAAAGAAAAAGTGTATCAAAACAATCAAGTATGACTTTCAACACTATCATGTGTACAAAAGGATATTCTAACTAAAACGCAATCGTGTTCTAAGTTAAAGCATTAGATAAATCGTTATGATTTTAATTAGTTTATATTTAGTGAATACTTTATTCTTGAAACCAGTTAAAACAATATTGACATGAGTTCGATATTACAGTATAGCGCGATTTATTAATTTGCATATTTTTTTTTTACCTCAGGTTCACACAACACCAATTCGCAATCCAGTTTCTACAGGAGATGTATGTACACAGTACTTCTACATTAATTTATAACATTTTCTTATTAAGGGCAGGTTAAACCCCCAAATTGAAATTTAGGGGTTAGGACTTTTTTGAGTGATAAGGAAGTTGTAACTAGCATAGTATATGAAAAAAATGCAAAAAAATCACTAAAAAGTTATGGTTTTGTGAACATATTTTCTAAAAAGTGTCATTTTTAGGGTAAAATAGCTCAAAATTAGCTCTCATTGAAATCACAATAACTCAGCTTCTATTTGTCAGAATAACACAAATCTTTAATATAGTGTAATAAACGCAATTACAAAAAAGTTGAACTAAAACAATTAGAAAATAATAAAAAATGGATTTTAGCCAAATTTTTTAAATGTGAGACCTACATTTTTTCCAAAAAGTAGGGAGTAGACTTAGCTTTTTTTTAATAAAATGAGAAGTTTCAAAGATATAGTAATTCTTTTAGTTCACCTTTACAAGCAGTGTTTAGTAAACATGTGTGCAAAATTTCAGCTAAATATCTCAAGTAGTTTTTAAGTTATAGTGATTTAACTGGTACTATTTTGTTGAAAAGTAACATTTTGAGAAAAACGCTAAATAGTGAAAAATATACTAAATTTGAAAAAACGAGAAAAAGCGAAAACTATACCAAATAAGTCATTTTTAAAACCTCCCAGTTACATAAATTGCATCTGGGGCCTCTTACTCAGCAATAAGAACATCTATTTTAGTTAGTTTTTAATTTTTATGTTGCTAAATGTTGCTTAATATAGGTCAATTACGTCATTAGTCTCATTAATTAAAAAATTATAAAAAACACTAGCAATACGAAATTTTGCAAAATGATTATACAAAAATGTTCAGAATTGAATGGAGTTTCAGAAACAATAGATTTTCAAAAATCAACATTTCTGACTTAAATATGTATTTTGGGGGGGGGGGGGGGTTTAACCTGCCCTTAAGGTTTTTTTTAAAACGCTACGTTCCTTTTTTTTTGTTTAAGCTGAACCTAAAGCAGTTCATGGTGGCGCTAGTTACGGTCACCTATAGAAGATATACATAAAGCTTTTAGATTATCTCACGGGCTTTCGAGGAAATAAATATTATTCTGTATCAGCTTTGGTTAGCATAAAATATCGAATTTTTTATCTTACTTTAAAAAAAATGTACGTGACAAAAACAGCTAAAATGTGCTCAAACTTTCTTATTTAATTAATCAATTACAATTACTAATGTTTGTTCTGATTACATTTATTCCTTTTCTTTTTTTCTTTATCAGTCAAAGCGTAGTCGTTACCCTAACCCTAATAACAACAATCACTTTTATCCGATTAATCCGACTGCATTGGTTGCTTTGACAAAGGTAATTTAAAACTAATAAAATCTCAATTAATAATTACTTTTGAGATTAATTGCTATGCTTTACTTTCATATCGGAGAAGGTGTTTTAAAATTTAGCCAACATAGACTTGTATTTTTCTCATTCTACAGTATATTTTATTATTTTAAATAACATGTAATTTAATTAAGCTGTATAAAGAATAGAGAAGAGGAAATAGATAATGGGAAAAATTTTTTACTACCGGAAGGCTTGAACATATTTTAAAATAAGCCATGTAAAAGAAAAAGTGTATCAAAACAATCAAGTATGACTTTCAACACTATCATGTGTACAAAAGGATATTCTAACTAAAACGCAATCGTGTCCTAAGTTAAAGCGTTAGATAAATCGTTATGATTTTAATTAGTTTATATTTAGTGAATACTTTATTCTTGAAACCAGTTAAACAATATTGACATGAGTTCGATAGTACAGTATAGGGCGATTTATTAATTTGCATTTTTTTTTACCTCAGGTTCCAACAACACCAATTCGCAGTCCAGTTTCTACAGGAGATGTATGTACACAGTACTTCTACATTAATTTATAACATTTTCTTATTAAGGTTTTTTTAAAACGCTACGTTCCTTTTTTTTTTTGTTTAAGCTGAACCGAATGCAGTTCATGGTGGCGCTAGTTAAGGTCACCTATAGAAGATATACATAAAGCCTTTAGATTATCTCACGGGCTTTCGAGGAAATAAATATTGTTCTGTATCAGCTTTGGTTAGCTTAAAATATCGACTTTTTTATCTTACTTTTAAAAAAAATGTACGTGACAACAACAGCTAAAATGTGCTCAAACTTTCTTATTTAATTAATCATTACAATTACTAATGTTTGCTCTGATTACATTTATTCCTTTTCTTTTTTTCTTTATCAGTCAAAACGTAGTCGTTACCCTAACCCTAATAACACCAATCACTTTAATCCGATTAATCCGACTGCATTGGTTGCTTTGACAAAGGTAATTTAAAACTAATAAAATCTCAATTAATAATTAGTTTTGAGATTAAATGCTATGCTTTACTTTCATATCGGAGAAGGTGTTTTAAAATTTAGCCAATATAGACTTGTATTTGTCACATTCTACAGTATATTTTATTATTTTAAATAACATGTAATTTAATTAAGCTGTATAAAGAATAGAGAAGAGGAAATAGATAATGGGAAAAATTATTATTACCGGAAGGCTTGAACATATTTTAAAATAAGCCATGTAAAAAAAGTGTATCAAAACAATCAAGTATGACTTTCAACACTATCATGTGTACAAAAGGATATTCTAACTAAAACGCAATCGTGTTCTAAGTTAAAGCGTTAGATAAATCGTTATTATTTTAATTAGTTTATATTTAGTGAATACTTTATTCTTGAAACCAGTTAAAACAATATTGACATGAGTTCGATATTACAGTATAGCGCGATTTATTAATTTGCAATATTTTTTTTTACCTCAGGTTTCAACACCAATTCACAATCCAGTTTCTATAGGAGATGTATGTACACAGTACTTCTACCTTAATTTATTACATTTTCTTATTACGTTTTTTTTTAAAACGCTACGCTCCTTTTTTTTTTGTTTAAGCTGAACCTAATGCAGTTCATGGTGGCGCTAGTTATGGTCACCTATAGAAGATATACATAAAGCTTTTAGATTATCTCACGGGCTTTCGAGGAAATAAATATTTTTTCTGTATCAGCTTTGGTTAGGTGACCCGTCAAAAGAGCGCACGACAAAAGAGCGCCGACATAAGAGCGCAGACAAGAGAGCGCCGACAAAAGAGCGGCGACAAAAGAGCGCAGACAAAAGAGCTCACAAACATACATTGCTTTATATATATATATATATATATATATATATATATATATATATATATATATATATATATATATATATATATATATGGATAGATAAATCATTTTGAAATTTGATATTTGATATACGTTGTATATCGTCTGCATGGTAGCTTCCTCATTAAAGAAAATAATGATTGATTAAGTAGTGTACTTTAATTGTGTATAGAATCGACTTAAAAAAATATGTTTTATATATTTTTATATTTTCCAGATACAAAAGGATATTCTAACTAAAAAGCAATCGTGTTCTAAGTTAAAGCATTAGATCGATCGTTATTATTTTAATTAGTTTATATTTAGTGAATACTTTATTCTTGAAACCAGTTAAAACAATTATTGACATGAGTTCGATATTACAGTATAGCCCGATTTATTAATTTGCATATTTTTTTCTACCTCAGGTTCCAACATCATCTCACAATCCAGTTATAATAAAAGATGTATGTACACATTACTTCTACCTTAATTTATTACATTTTCTTATTACGTTTTTTTTTAAAACGCTACGCTCCTTTTTTTTTTTTAGCTGAACCTAATGCAGTTCATGGTGGCGCTAGTTATGGTCACCTATAGAAGATATACATAAAGCGTTTAGATTATATCATGGGCTTTCGAGGAAATAAATATTGTTTTGTATCAGTTTTAGTTAGCATAAAATATCGACTTTTTTATCTTATTGTAAAAAAAAATGTACGTGACAAAAACAGCTAAAATTTGCTCAAACTTTCTTATTTAATTAATCAATTACAATTACTAATGTTTGCTCTGATTACATTTATTCCTTTTTTTTCTTTCTCAGTCAAAGCGTAGTCGTTACCCTAACCCTAAAACCACACTAACTCCAAACACCCACTCTCCAAACCTAACCCAACCAAAACCTTAAGTAACACATATATATTTTTAAACACACTAACTTTTTTTTTTTATCCGAACCTGATGCTTTCCTCCTTGCCGCCGTACTCTCGATTCTACAACGCATAACTCGAAAAAAAATCTCAGTGAGAATAGATAATAGAGTTGTAAGAATTCAGTCAGAAAAATCTAAATAATAGGTATGCATGTATATTAACTAATGTCAGTTATTTTGTAACATCGTACCTTTGTAAACACTTCCAAAAATCATTCCATCAATATGGCCCTTCATTTCGTTTACATTGAACTGAATTATATTTATTACGTATGGAGTATTGAGGGTTCTTTACTTTTTTAAAATTTTATTTTTTAAAAAAATTACATAAATTAAACGTTAAATTCTGAGAAATGTAGCATCTACTATGTTTTTTTTTTCTTGTTTGGAGTCATCCTTAGTACAGACTGTTGAGCGTAAACGCTCAGTCCGTGATGCTGGCCATGTTGTCATCAAAGAGAACGGTATGGATGTTGTGGACCCATCAACTAAAGCGGCGTTTGTCTGTGAAGTTCCGCCATGTACGTTAATCAGGAAATAATAACATGCATGGAAATGGTATCATGTTTTACTTTATTGTATATGAAGTATAGAAGAAGTAATTGCATCGTTTCATTTACATTAGTACAATTTAGGTTAAACTTCTGTTTAGTTTAATGCACACTGCATTTTACTTTCTCGTATACGGGATACATAGGATACAAAATTGTTACCTACTTTCCTTAGTTGGAATACATTAGCTATGTCACGTTATTTGTCTAAAATACATGAGTGTGTGTAGAGGGGTGGGGGTGGTGACTAACATACGTGTATATTAAAATGATAGCAGATGACAGCAGGGCTAGGAATTGTGTAGGTGTTCTTGCGTACAAAGTAAATAAACCTGAACATTACTGAATTGGACTTTGTTTCTATAATGTAAAAGTTGTGTAGGCCCTAATTTTCTAACTGATACACACGCTTTATATATACCTATATATATATATATATATATATATATATATATATATAGGTATATATATATATATATATACATATATATATATATATATATACACTACTTCCCAAAAAAATGACCTAGCTATTGAAAAGTATGCAGAATGGTGGGCGCCACCGTGTCACAATTAGTCCTAGACACACCTTACAAATTCATGTTGCCCCCAATGACCACATGGGGTTGGGGATGTGTGTGTGTGTCTGTCTGTGTGTGCGTCCGTATAACAACGTGTATGTTATAACATTTGTATCATATCATCATCTTTTCCCGTGTGTGCCCAAAACACATGCGGCTAATAGAGTTCATCTGTTTCATTTGCATGTGGACAGTGTGGTCAGCATTTACCCAGCCGCAGTGACGTAGCGAGGGGGGCAAATATGTCCCCGGGCGCCGACCCAAGGGGCCACCAACATGGGTTGAAAAAAAAAGTAAAAAGCTCATTTTAGTTGCAGTATTGCATTATAAATATTCAAAATATATGAGAAGTGGCGCCAAATTGAAAATTTGTCCATGGGGTGGGCGCCTAAATTGAAAGTTAGTTCACAGGCGCCGGGAAGGGTCGAAACGCCTCTGCCAAGCCGTCTTTGTTTCCCTACCGTGTGTTATTTACCCATCAGAGCTGGGAAGACTCAAGTGTTCTACTCGAGATTTCCGGGTTAGCTGTCTAGCTCTCTACCGTTAGGCCACGCCGTCCCTACGTTTTGTATATTCGTTAGTGTTAAACACACACTGTTTGGTTTTATCTAATTATCATTTACTGAACTTTTAAAACATTTTTTTAGACTCTGAGTTTAACACCATGGACCTACAGCTTCGTAAAATTGTAAGTAAAATTAGATTCACGTTAGAAAGGAACATATATGCAATTTACAGCTTATGAAATTTTATTTAAGAATGTATGCTTGTGCAAGCAAAATGAACAACATGTTTTAAACACATCTGTTTACTATATATTATTTGCAGTCTGAAATTGCCTACCTAGTTGATGAAGAAACGTAACTAAGTCGTATATAATGTGGATAATTATATAGACATTAAAAAATAATAAACAATATTAAATGACAATATTATAAATTGTCTTGAATGCTACTAACATACGTATTATGCACATGAATTTTACAGAACTACGATATATTCAAGAACCAATTGAATGCATCTAGAGTGATTGAAGAGACTTTAGACAAGATCTACTCTAGACTTACAACTGCTGGAAGGGAAATTATACCTGGTGATCTGAAACTCATCATCGACTTTCTAGATATGGTCTCGTCAGCAGTTAACTCTACAGTTATCATTGTAGATGATCATTTACTGAAGGTTGTGTTTACATATTCTCGTTTACTTAAAAACTATCTATATGCGAGTTAATATGTATGTACTTGATTTAATTTACGTATAATGTAATTAAAGATAACGAGCCGACCCGCTTCGTATCATACGCCGCTATTTAGTTGGTTTTTTTTTTCTACTTTTCAGTAATTTATAATTTGTGAATTACAGTACAAATGCTGCCACTAAAAATATTTGATTAAAAACACTAACCCCCCCCCCAGCCACGTGAAAGCAGCCTCCTCTTAGTTACCTCCTCTAAGTTTAAAATCGTTTCAAACTAAATTATCTGCCCCTAATAGCCGTCACCAAACCCGTCTCTATGATTGTAAAATGTAAACAGCGTGACCACAGCTCACCAGACAATGTGGGGGTGGGGTGGGGGTGGTAGTGATAGTGATAGAGAGAAAGAGAGGGGACTGCGAGGAGGTGCTTGCAGCTTGTTTTCTAACGACTCCCAGAAGAGAATTATATATACGAGCTGACCCGATGCGTATCATACGCCGCTATTTAGTTGTTTTTTTTTCTACTTTTCAGTAATTTATAATTTGTGAATTCGACAGTACCAATGATGCCATTGAAAATATTTGCTTAAAAACACTACCCCCCCCCAACCCCCACGTGAAAGCAGCCTACTCTTAGTTACCTCCTCTAAGTTTAAAATCGTTTCAAACTAAATTATCTGCCCCTAATAGCCGTCACCAAACCCGTCTCTGTGATTGTAAAATGTAAACAGAGTGAACACTGCTCACCAGATCATGTGGGGTGGGGTGGGGGTGGTAGTGATAGTGATAGAGAGGAAGAGAGGGGACTGCAAAGGCGCGCTTGCAGCTTGTTTTCTAATTGATCCCAGAAGAGAATTATATATATAGATATGCATTTAGTCAAACGTAAGAAAATGTCTAAATAATGATGTCGTCGATACAAACTTAAATGTCACATTTGGTAAAGCTTTTCATATATGTTATGTATGTATTAACTATGACTCATTATAACATGTGTTAAGTGCTGATTAATCGCTATTAATGTGCCCTCTAAAGTAAATAATGTTGCGTACAATTTTACATGGACCTACAAAAGCAAAATAAATCTCAGAAAGCATGTCACACTTTTGTTGAGTAAAATTTTTTTTTTAAATGGACAAAATGTTTAAAATATTGTATTTTAAAAACTTGATATCAGAAGATAACATCAGTGGTAGACTTGACCATACAAATAGAAGAACGCGTTTGGCATCAGTTAAATAAGAGAGGGGAGCAGGCCGCGACTAGACTGGTTAACTACATGGAAAATATCGTCGTTAGATCTGCTGCAAACATTACAGTCATAGTACAAGACACTCTAGGTAAAATATTTGTTCAAATTTCAACTCCTTCTCTATTCTATCTAGACAACGTTTACTCATTTATGTTTTTTTCTAAATACATGTGTTAAGAAAATTAATTAAAATATATTATTCACATCAGTATAATTATTTTATCAATGGTGTCAATTATTCAAGTGATATCATTACATTAATCACCTTTACACATTCCAGCGATTTTACCCATTCGGTACGGTGTAACTTCTTCACCCTACTACTTATTTTAACATGATATATTACTACCCTTGTTAATATGACTTTAATACGATGTACACACTCCACGTAAAAAAGTTACACTCTTTCCGACAGCAACCCCCCCCCCCCCCCCTTATGCTATTTTATTTTCATGACTTGTGACGCCATCGCATCAAATATCTTAATATTTCGTTTAAAAGATGTTCCAAACATGTCGCATACTGGTTTTTTTTTCATATTAAAATTGCATTTGTATTTTTTTTTCATTTTCTCTTTATACGACATTCGCTTCAATGTTGTCCATTTAAAAAAAAAAAGAATGCGTTTCTGCTCCATAGCAATAATAATAGCCCAATCAGAAGCTGACATACATTTCCCAATAGTCCATGAAGTCGATGCAGCCTACAACATATCGTGGTTAAGAAAAACAAAAAACAGTTTGTATTTGTCACACAATGCGAGTCAAACATTCAAAGGTTAGATTTACTTTTATAATGTTTAAAAGTTGACGTTATTTTTGTATTTACTAATTGGTAAGATTATTTATTTACACACAACTTTGTAGTACTTGAGTAATTGTTAATCATTACAATTGCCTTTTGCATTTTGATTATTTAAAAAAAGTTTTGATTGTTATGCTACAGGTGCGCTAAACTACTCTATCATTGTCTACGACGGGTTGAAAAACAAGTTGATGGTAAATCAAGAAAAACAAATTAGGTAAACTTAAAACACACATACACATAAAACGGCCATAACCATATATATATATATATATATATATATATATATATATATATATATATATATATATATATATATATATATATATATATATATATATATATATATATATATATATATATATCAATGCTTTACAATCTCTATGCCAGACACAACAAAGAACTCGCTACCAAAAATTTGGTTTCTGATATCATCGCATTTTCTATTCATGGTTTTCATGGAGAACTTAGAATCCCGCTCAGAGTTTCGTTCTTCGTTGACTCTGTAAGATGTATATCTTTTTTATATTATTATTCTAACGTCTGAGAATAGTCATTTCAATTGAATATGTATTTTAACAGAAGTTATAAACAGTTTTATTTACTCTTCAGACCAATTACACAAACCCAGTCTGTGCTTTCTTGGACTTTTCAGCTGAGTAAGTGTCCATAATGTTTAGCAATCTTTTATTCTAGTCAAAACTTCTCAAACTATAGTAGGCAAATAAACAATATTTTTTTTTTAACATTACGTTTTGTGTTCAGTGAGAGCGGTGTGTGGTCGTCTGACGGGTGTCACGTGGTGTACTATGACCAGGACTATGTCACGTGTGAGTGCAACCATACAACAAACTTCGCTGTTCTTATGAGTCCCTACATTGACCAGGTACGTTTTATTTTACAAAAGGTGTGTTATGTAAGCTCATTAGTTAAACGAGATCAGATAGCAATGAAACATTCATTGAAACAATTACATTTTTTTTTAAAGTAGGTCTAACCATAGCTTAATTGTGGGTTCTATTATTGTGTTGTTTTTTTACTTACACACATTTACTTGTTTTTAATTTTATATAAAACATTTTATTAAAGGAAATCTAACTTCAAATGTTTATTTCCCAGCATAAAGATAACTACATAATAAACACAATCTCCATCATATGTTTATCTGTATCTATAATATGTCTGCTGGCTACCGTCCTGGTCTATGCCGTTCTATGGAGGTAGGTTACTTGATCAATGTTTAGTAAATAAATGATTTATAAATAAATAATGGATATGCGGTAAGTAAAAAAAAATGTAATATATATATATTTTTAATATGTAAGTAAATGTTATCAAAACTGACCAAAATTTTGTTATAGTTTATAGTTAATATTAAAGCTTTTCGAACGATATTGTTTTTTTTTTTACGAATTAAGTATTTTTTAGTGAGGAAAAACCAATTCAAAGCAGGTATGAGTTTTATTTTACAGCTCGTATGTAACTAAACTATGAGTAACGATTAGCATTGGTTTACAGTATTGACTAAGATAACTACACCTAATTCAAATATTAGCTAAAAGAGTTGTTGGTGTCATCCATAAATAATATACATATATAGATACGTAAAATCTGATCGAGCTGTCCTCTACGTCAACCTTTCTGTGACCTTGACACTTGGCTATGTCGTGTTTCTGTCGGGAATAAACCAGACACAAAACAAGGTAAATCATTACTGCTTGAAATATATGTTTTGAAGCACAGCATTATAAATATATATGTATATATATATATATGTATATATATATATATATATATATATATATATATATATATATATATATATATATATATATATATATATAAAACATAAATGACAGAGCAGATACCCATATTAACGTTAGTTTTCCTTGTTGAAAAAAAATTAAATTGAGACAAAATATAAAATAGTATAACTTTTACTCTAATCAACCCTCTCTATTAGGTCATGTGCACGGCCATTGCTGCAGCCCTTCACTTCCTGTTCCTTGTTGTGTTTTTCTCCATGCTGGGTCAAGGTCTCAATGTCCTCGTGTCAGTCATTAGTATGACGACACGTTCCGTCCTGCGCTACTTACTTCCCTTGTCTTATTGTAAGCTTTCTAGTTTTAATTAATCTCCACACTAAAATATCTTAACGGGTTCTAGTATTAATTATACTAATTCTGTTTAAGAATCAACTCAACAGTTTTACCCAGCAAAAATTGGGGAAAATGTGATAAGGGGGTCGTTTATAAATGACGTCACACTCGTAGGGGGGAGGGGGTGTCTGTTATTTTGTGACGGTGTGTGATGAGGGGGAGGGGGGGGGGTTCAGATAGTGTGACGTCACTTTTTTTGCATTATAAAAAAGTAATGTTAGAAAACGAGTTTTAGCCATTATTTTGCGTTTTAGAAAACGGTTTTAATAAATTGTAACAGTAATTGATCAAAACACTTTATGTTGACAGAGTTCTGACAACATTTTGGGAAAATATCGATGTTTTAAGAAAAAATCAACAACTATTTTGAGGGGGGTGGGGTGGTTGTAGGCTGAGGTGTGACGTCTTTTTATGGGGGGGGGGGGTTGGCTTTTTGTGACGACGTGTGAAGGAGGGGATGGGGGGGGGGTAAAATCGTCAAAAAAGCGTGACGTCATTTATGGATGACCCCTTATAAATAAAATATTACTCAAGTGTAATACACTTGGTAGATTATTATATTGTAGATCAGTTGTTTTTAACCATTGTGCAGGCACTGAATATCACAAGTTAATATGCGCATTTACCGAACACTTATAATTGTTCAAATAACACGTAATTGTTGATTATTGGGCTCCGCCGAACACCTGAGACTGACCCACCGATTTGCTCGCAAACAGGTTAAGAACTACTGTCCAAGTTTTTTTTTTAAAGATGTAGATCTGGATAGTGAGTAAAATAATTTATTTGGTGGGGGGATGCATTTATTATCGTAATTATGTTTGCACTGCTCTTTGAATAAATAACATTGCATAGTCCTATTATGTATTTTATTATTGACTTCAAATATTTGTGTGTATCTATAGTTAAAAATACTTAATATACATAAAAATGTCTCTAGTTAAAATTTTTAATATAACAATTTGAATACTCCAACATAACAGGTGGACCTTTGCTTATTGTGGTCATAACTCTTGCAGTGACTAAAGCTCATGGATACAGTACTGACACATAGTAAACTCCTAGTTGTAACATTTTAATTATAATGTTTAAAAAAATAACCATATATTGTGTTTTGCATTTCCTTTGTAGATTAAAAATTTTTATGAAAGAAATCTATCTCGTTCTTTTTCAGTTGCTGGCTTTCCATTGAGTCTGGTGTCTTTTGGGCTTTTTCAGTCCCAGCGCTAAGTATTATTTTAGTAAGTCAAGGCAATTAATGTTAAAAATTAAATAAAATAATTATTATATTTTCTCCTTTGGTTAATTTAATATATTAGTAGCAGTTTAAATTAATTGTATTTTTAAATTGTTTATTGATTGACGTGTTATATCAAATTAAATGTCTTTTGAGTAAATAAAAATGGTAATAATTTTCAATCGTTTTGGAAATGTACTCGTTGTAATGCATCTAGATGTTGACTTTCTACGGATATTGTGTCTTTTTTTTTAAAGTTTATATTCTATTGCAGGTAAATTTCATCATTGTGTTGGTCGTCCTTAAAACCATGCAAACTTCACATTTCATGTCGAACAAACCACTTGTAGCTAGAACAAAGTAAGTGTAACATGAAAATATTATACAACACTACCACCTACACGCAGTCTTTAAAATAATACATAACATTTGTATACTGTGATACTTTGAGTTATTAGTTTTCCCAATTTCAAAATATTACGCTCATTGTTACATGTATGTACAATCGATAATAGGTCAGTCGTCCGGTCCATCTGTATCTTGTCCCCAATCCTCGGCCTGTCCTGGGTGTTTGGTGTCTTGTCCATGACAGACCCCCACGTGATCTTTCAGTACCTGTTTGCACTCACTAACTCACTGCAGGTGTTTTTTTTTATTTTAATTTTACATTTCTTAAATTAGTGAAAATAAAAGGTATATTTATATTTTTTTATTCACTTACGTTTTTAATATTATCTTATAGTATGTATAAGCCTACTTTAAATCGTTGTGAGTTTATACATTGTTCATCGGAAATTCAAGATTTACCTAAGACTAACGTTAATCATAATATTAGACTTAATGACACTGACATATTGAGTAAAATAAAATAAAAACAATAACCATTATACATCTGCTATATACATAGTTTATTTGTATTGGGCTGTTATTCAGAATATTTTTTTATCACATCTGCTAAAAAATAATGTTTTTTTTTGTTTTGTTTTTTTGCGTGAATTTTCCAGGGTTTATTTATTTTCATTTGCCAGTGTTTGCTTCAACAGCAGGTAGGATATTGATTTTTATTTAGAGGGAACAATTGATCTGAATAGACAATCTATTTTATATATTACTTTGTCGTCACCAACAACTATCCCATAAATTTGATTCAGCTATCAAGCTCAAGACTTTGTTGTTTATACTCATGAGCATCTAGACGTAGGTTAACACGTAAAATATGTTTTCAACATAAATACACATGTTTTAATAAAGCTTGAATATATACAGGTTCGAGATGGCGCACGGACATTTATACGTAGGTACAGAGCGGATAAACTGGACTCGGGACATACAACTGGTCAAATGTTATAGTCACTGGTATGTTTAGTATAGGCCAATAATAGCAATGTGTTTTAATAAAGTGCGTGAAAGTGGCATTCATTACCATTAAGTTTACGAAGTCGTGTTTAGTAGAGTAGTAGAATGATAACCTTTTCAGTTTTTTTTTTTAATTTTTAATTTTTTTTTTAGTTTAATTTTTCTTTTCTCTAACCGGCTCCCCACTCAATCAAGGGGTTGAGCCGGTAACAACAGGTTTTAATGAAAATACATACATGAAATAATAGAACATGATGTTTTTTCCCGCTGGTATATCCACTGTAATCGACGTTGAGACCGTTTGTTTGTCGGTCGGTATTCGGGCCTTTTTTAGTGTCCTTTCACATGGAGAATTTACGATTGCTAGTGTATAATATCGAAGTGATTGTGGGTTCTGTTTTAGTTCGAATGGAACAGTCTTATTATTATTGCAATATACTTAGACTAATAACAATATAATATTAAATTTTAACTATGTATTTGAAGGTTTCTTATTAAAATTATTGTTTATACATATAATTGATTATAAATTTTGAAAACATTACTCTTAATAAGTATGACTAATTGATACGTATATGTATACTTATTTCGGACTATACATTTCAGAAAGAGAACAAATACATGGACACGTCTTAGCAAAGAGGATATACAGACCAAAGCGATACACTTATTTTGAGTGACAATTTATGACTCATCGAATAATCACACGAGTTATCGTTTATACTTACGCCACTTTTTGTCCAAATATGCAGATACATCTTTAGGTTAGGCTAGTTCTAAGATTAGGACAACTTTGATGAGAACGAGAATGTATGATTAGTAAAACTATAACCTGACGACAGATGTTTTAAATATTGGCCGGCATTGTAACGCTTTTTGAATATGTTGATATCTCGTGCTTAACCGTACTGCTTTCATTAATGTTTAAATACAGCCTCTCTAGCAAGTAAAGAAACACTTCATTTTTTAAATCTTAAATTATATCACTTTTTATGTTAGCTTTGTACTTTAGTCTACAAATAACACGATATATGTTTACATGGAAGGGCTCCCTACATTTGAAATTATGTAGCACAATTGTATCTCACATCACTTTATGTTTAAATATTTTATAACATTATATGTTCTTTTCTTTGTTAAATGCACCACAATTGTATAGGTACGATTTTTTTAAAGTCATTAATTATATTTTATTTAGTCAGAAGCAAAGCATAACGCTTTGATCAATTACGTTCTTTACATCTTCATGTTTTCTGATTGCATGTTGAAATATCCTAATAGGGTTCAAGTCAATTGCTCATCCAGTACTTTGTATTGCTATATCAGTACAGTTTATACTAATGTGTATGTTGGCTGCACTATTTAATTAGAAACTACAATGGCTTGATTATACTATCGATAATATTGTATTCAAAACACTAGTTTTAATGACCCAAAATTACCCAAAGTTAAGTGTTTTGAATGGAAACAAATTTTGAAAATTCATAAAAAATTAGTTTGAAGATATGCACTTAAAATGTTTAGCTAATTGCCCCAAAAAATGGAAGAAGATTATGAATTGATTGTTTATTGGGCTTAAAATGTGATATTTTATGAATGGTGGAAAACCTACGTAGAATTAGTTTTTCAAAATGACCGCCGTTGTCATAGTTACCAAGATTTTTCCAATAATTTATTTTTAGTGGAAATGCATATGCGGATGTATCTTAATAAAGCTGTAAAGAAATAACTGTTTTCTAGTGAGTATTACAAAAGTTCTTTTTTTACCGGAGCCTTCCCCCTTATACTATGATGATAATGTATCGCTATTTCAATTGTTTTAAAAATATTTTAATTGCGCTTCATATTTTACTTTATATCTGCGACACATTATAACTATATGCATTTATTTAAAATTCACAGCTGCGTTAAATCACGTGGTACGTCCTTATCTTTTTGATAGACTAAATACATCAGCAGTGCTTTTAAATTTCGTTTGGCTGAGCAGAACCATAAGCAAAATGCATAGACGTTAGAGAAAAATGTGTAACTATGCCAGATTGAACATTATTTTTATATTTTTATTACAGAATTAGTATTTATTTTTGTGGTAATGGTTGCTAATTCCGTGCTAAATAACTGCAAGCAACTATTTGAAAATGTTTCTATTAAAGAAATTCGTTTTACGTGTATGCAAGAAGAATTTATTAAAATTAAACACTCTAGTATATAGAAATTGTAGCCTACTATTAACAACAATCCGCTTACACAACAATACGCAAAAAAATGCATCAACGTCGTTTATAAAAGTTTATGTAATGAATTTTGTTAAACTTTAAAATTTTCGGGGAGATAAAGAGTTATTTTAATCAACTTTATTTAAAACACATATGGGAAGTAACTCACATACTAAGAGCATGCCTATTCACTTAATTTATCTTTTGCACAATTATTTTTATTAAAACTGTATCATAAATTATAACTTTTTGTATCTTTGTGTTTATTTTATTTTTTTCCTCGTATTTTTTGTTATTCTGTCTTAATCTCTTCTTAAGTGTGTTGTCAGACTACATCAGGCCTCACGTACTTGTCAACTATGTCTGTAAAATATACTAATCGGACAGTACTGATATTCCGCACTATTATACACATTTTGTTTTGCGTTCACTTGGTGTGCAATTCTTTTTTCTACAAGATTCTATTCTATTTTAAAAAGTTTAAGGATTTAAAAATCGATTAAAAATCATGTCTATATCACGATGTGCCATCTAAGGTAGTGGCATATTAGAATATTCGAGAAAGTTTAGGGGAGATCACTCCCGGTTTATTTTTTTATGCACTTATATAAACTGCTTATATTAAAGCTTTCAGATACATTTAGTCTTTAGTAAAATGAGGGAAAAAAATAACATAATAACATTTTTATAATACCGTTTATTTTAACAACACCGAACACGGTTTTCGAATATATAGTATAAAACATAGTAGACTTTACACGCAGGGTCCCATTAGTCTGACATATATTTTGATGCAAACACTCATCATACGACCGCTATGATGACAGGCATTGATGAGATCCAATATCAGTCGTGTTTCTTCCTTAGACCCAGCAAATCAAACAGCATCGAAGTATACTTTTTATTTAGAAAGATGCAAACATAAATATTACTGGCGTTGCCAATATAGAGCAAGGTGGACAAGCATTTCATTATTAGAACTTCCGCGCTTGGATTTGTAACCATCAGGTCAGCAGTGAGAGTCACGACCAGAAAGTAGACGAAGTTGACCAGCGTGTTGATAAGTGAGACCACCACCAGTGTCTTGGTTGTCCGCTGGACACTCAAGTTCTTGCTGGTTGAAACTTTCTTCCTGTTATGCGCAGTCAGCTGTATTTTAACGGTAATCAACACAGCTCCCGTCACGACGATAATCAACGGGCAAATGCTAGTCAGATAATTGAAAACGTAGTAGTTAAAAAACGCAATCTTTTCATAATGAATAATACAAAATAATGTAGGTATTTCCAATCCTATGCCAGATGGTGCGTAATGAAAAGTTGTGCAAGAGCTGTAGAAAACTATCCAAGGCAGCCAAAAAAGGCATACGGCGAAGACAAGTATTTTAACTGTTTTTGTTGTCATAATTTGTTTAAATTTGA